TGATTAAAAATATTTGATAACTTCAATAATTTCTACAAGTTGTTGCTTTAAATGATACTTTTCTAACAGTACAGAAACTGTACAACAATGGCAAGTCAGGTTCCACAAAGCAACATGTAGAAAAGCATCTATCTTTCTGTCAATTCATCACCCTGACATCACTGATGCAGCAAGCAGAAATGTTGGCAACAAAGAGAAAAGGCTAATCCGACTGATTAGCATAGCCTGGAAAAAGACATGCCCAGTGCATCCAGGCTCCCATCAACAGCATGGCATGACAGCATTGGGTGAGGGGTTGGTGTCCATGTCAAACTCACAATGCAAATGGATGTGGTGTATACAGATATCTCATTGTAATCAACAAGCGGCAAACTTGACTGAGCATTTGTTTACGGATGACATTCCAGTTTCGCAGGGATCTTGGCTAAGTCTCCACCTTCCTGTCTGTGGTAGAACATTTAGCATTTCATCACTCAAGCTTTTTTGGAATAAAAACATTCTGACACTAAAACCTGCTGTTGATCTTTTCAGCACATCTGACATTTTGTGGGAGTTATGGTGGTTGTTGATGGTTAAAAATCCCTTGTCACATCTTAAGAAGAAAATAATATAATAGCACACATTGGCCATCTTGTTTCTGTGGTAATGGGACCTACTGACATTCTTCCATCAGACCATCGTTCCAAACACTTAGTCAGATGTCACATGTGCAATAGGCATATGTATCTGCAGTACAATCATCATCACCACCATCATCCTGATCATCATCATTCTGATTTACACAAACAGCCAGGTCACACACTGATCATCCTGATCATCATCATCATCATCATCATCATCATCATCATCATCATCATTCCGATTTACACAAACAGCCAGGTCACACACTGATCATCATCATCATAATCATCATCATCATTCCGATTCACACAAACAGCCAGGTCACACACTGTGACCAAATGATGCTTATTGGGGTCAGATCTTACACCAAGTTTGACTTGCTGGGGACAAGTAATCCACACAGGGAAGTTTGAAGCAAAATATAGAATAGTTTTAGCAATTTCTTGGCTTCAAATACCATTTATAATACGCTTAATTACACTTTTGATAAACATATAAAAAACAACCTCATACACTAAACAGTGTGACATTTCCACAATATTATAAACGACCTATTGTTTAGGTTTACCATTCTCACACTAAGCATGTTAAGTTTGTGACCATATTTCCTTCCTTATGAATCATGTTTGTCTATCTCCTGTACAATTATATAACAATGACAACTGACAGACACTCTGTCACGCGGCACAAGTTTAAACACTTGAAGTCTTCCTGGATCAGATAGTATGTACCATATCCAACCTAATAAGCAACCCACAAGAGCAGCCTTCTTGTTCTTGTACATTTGCTGCTGTTTTGACATGTTTGAAATGTTAAGCACAAATCACAAGAGTCTGATATTATTGTATAACTGGTCCCAATTTGGCTAGAACAGTACTGTTACTAAATGTACCATATTCAACCTAATAAGCAACCCACAAGAGCAGCCTTCTTGTTCTTGTACATTTGCTGCTGTTTTGACATGTTTGAAATGTTAAGCACAAATCACAAGAGTCTGATAATTAACCCTAATTTGGCAAGGACATTACTGTTACTACTGACAACATTTAGTCTCTGAACTCTGAAATGCAAACATTAAAGATTTTTTTGTTAAATAATTTATTGTCTTCTAATGTATAATAGAAGGAAGCCCAGAGAATCAATTGATTAGAAAAGAAAAGAATAAATGTAGACTTGCCAAAGTAAGGTACACTTGCTTGGGAATTTTCAGATATTTTTGTTTCAGGGTCTGTATGGCACACTACTCTTTCCACTAAGCATTATACTTGTGCTAAACATTTTGACACATTGAAAAGATAAATCTTGGAAATGCTTTCTCACTATCGAATAATGACAACATATCAAAAAAGATTACCAAGTATAAATCATTTTCACTCACCCAAAAGACATCAATAACAATGGGTAGATTGCTTTGAGAGACAGGGCAAATATGCAATATTCTCCTTACAAGCAATATTGCCGACAATGATGAATATCAAGGATATTTGGGGTAAAACATAAGAAACTTTAAAAAGAGTTAGTAATCAATATTAGCACATGTATGTACTGTGTGTTGTACAACTACTAATCACACTGGAAAATCACTGTCAACTGAAAAAGGCTTCTAAAATCAACATTTTCTAATCTCCACAATGTGCCAAGTTTCTAAGGTGAAGGAGGCAATAATTTGATGAAGAGTGCTTTATTTAGTGAATATCAGTTATTTTAGCAAACATGGATAGAATTATCATTAAACCGCCCGCATGTTATCAGAAATGAGCGGGCCACTGTAACTTGATAATGCCCTCATATTGCTTGACGACAGGCCATTATAAGGCCCGTTTGTTAGGTGATGTCATAGGATAGGGATAGGTGACGTCATGTTCGATAGTGACGTCATATGGTTTGTTCCATCCATATTTGTAAAAGTGGGTCAGTGACATTTGTGTTGATTGCAATAAATGTTTCAAAACCGATAATGGTGTTTCTTTTTATTTGATAACAAATACCATCCATTTTTAGCTACAATAATGGTAATGCTATTTTTCAGGGCATTATGATTTACAGAAACCCTCAGACCTTTCAACTGCCCTCCTTCGTCGGACAGTTAATCGAAGACCTCATGCTTCTGCAAATGATAATGCCCTGAAAAATAGCGTAACCCTTATAATATTTTGATGAAGAAAGCTTTATTTAGTGAATATGGCAAAAGAAACTAATTTATTATGATCATGTGATGTCAATAACCTGTCAAAATTATTTGTAATCATTCTGACAAAAAACAATTTCACTTATATATGTTGAAGGTGTTTGGTCAATGATTCCGTAATAGTTGCCATCTCTTCTAGTTCTTTTGGTCTTTACACTGAGAGTATGTTGACATTGTCATCCCCTACAAGATAATGACCTCTTTAACACTTCTCCCTTGAACAATGACATTCCGTATCAGCATTCCACACCATACTTGTTGTCACTTTTAACCAGGCTCAGGTTCTCTGCTGAACAAGCCCTTGCCTTGGAAGACAAGGAAGGGCAACAAAGTGGATGTGTTGACACAGTAGCAGGTCGTTACAGTGGTTATTATCACTAGGTAATATCATGGCCTGTTATTTCATTAAGGAGAGTTGTCTGTCCTTGAGTCAACATACTTGTCACATCATTAGAGGTTTCTTGTATATGCCTGGGGAAGCATGTACTGCCGTGCCGGTATTTGACAGCTATTGTAGTGTCATCCTGGTGCTATAAGTGTTATGAGGCTGGTAAACACTAACAATGGTCTTCGGCTAGAGAAAAGAATTCCTTTCATTTCAGAAGTGGTTTAAATGAACTGTTTGCTGTAATTTAGCCAGGAATTTTGACTTGATACCTCTGCAGGACGATTTGAAAATATATGGATTTCTTTGCTCTAAATTGGGAAATTCTATGTTACCCTAAAACATCAATTCAGAAGTATTTACCGAACTGAACATGGTAAATTTTGGGTATTGATTCCATACATTGATATTGAATATGTGAAGATTAATGGCATGTAAAAAGATATTTGGAAAATCTCACAAATTGTGCATTTGTCGAAGTTTTGCCAACACTTCAAATTAACACTGCCAAATACGACCCTTTGGAAGCCCAGGCCACTCAGTGGTTAGAAACACTAATCCTGGTAATGATAACATCATGACATTGAACTCCTTATCAAATAGGAACTGTATACTAGACCTCAAGATAACTGAACTTTGGAGCTGTTTGGTTCCGACTAGAAATGGCATGGTACATCAAGTATGGCATCACGTAACTTGCACTCTGAGGAATCAAGCCTTGGTTTCAGTACGGTGAGCTCATGCTTTAACCACTAGGCTACCCAACCACCCCTTTTCATCTCTTTGGAGCGACACAGAACTATTATTTAGGGGATTATTTTGTTCATTTGCAGGAATGACAAAACAAATAAATATTCATCAGCCATTTCAAACTCATCATTAAGCCGACACCAAACTGGTCTTTCCCCTTTGGCAATTGTGAAACTGTAGAATGTGGAGATACATTTTGATAAAGATACAGATAAATCTAAAGAAATGACAGTTACATGTGTCCTCAAGCAATAAGGAAATGAGCAGAGCAATAATCATGTTAATATGGTGACACATATTCTTAAATGACTAATGATTAAACAGTGTTTGGAATGAAAGGGGGTAAGTGAGTCTGGTATTACACCGCTTTTAGAAATATTCCTGCAAGCAATATCACAGCGGGGGACACCAGAAATTGGTGTGGGGGGGAGGAGATGTGTGTGCTTGAGATTTGCTATTGTTGTATTGGAACACAGGTTAACCTAAACTTTACAAATTTTAACTTTGGGGTCACGAAGGAGCCCCTGACTTTCATGGTTAATTTTGAACACTGTAAAGGCTTAGAAACTGGGACAAGTCTTCGAGGCTGAAAAAACACGGGAAATGGTAAGGTATCCTCATTTTCTGGATCATTATACGGTCTGGTTACTAAAATGAGTTGGTTCCTATCTCTGTGATAAAGTCATAACCCATAGACAAGAGGCTAAGTCTAGAGTGAGGAATATGATAGTGGGAGGACCAGGTCAAGGCCGGACTCCTTAGGTTGCCACAGCCCCATGTGGCCACAGGAACCTCTCCTGATGGATCCTGCTGACATCCTGTGACGTCATGTCAGTGTTTAGTCAAGCAATACCCTCACAGCAAAGTACAAACAATACCCAGACATGTAGTCGCAGAAACAATGGCCTTCACAGTCTCCCGTAGAAACAGCCAAAATGTTGCTGGTAATAGATGGACTCTAGATGCTGTACAGGAATTCTGATTTCTTGAAAGATATACTCAAATTTACCAGCAAATCTGACAGGCTATATGATGCGTGACCCAGCTCATGCCTACCTTCTTGGGGTCCATATTGAATTTCTTCTTCCCAATTGAGATCTGTTTGGTCTTGGGATCTGGTTTGCTGAAAGAAGCAGAAAAGAAATTATGAGTTAACTTACAGCAACAAAAATCAAAGTAAACAAATGTGACATTCAATTACGTGGTTTGATAAACTGCATTACAAGCAACACTTGTCTGGGGTGTAATATCCTACACCATAGCTACTTGTTAAAGCTGAAAAAGATCCCACCCAAAAGAGCGATAAGGGTACTAATTGGCACAGATTACCACAAATTGAAACAGATAATAAGCCTTTTTTCTAAACTCATTTGTTAAAACAGTCACATACTACTTTAGTTACATCAAAGATTCTAAATCTGGATTGATAAGCAGCTTCTCAATGTATTTATTCAGAGAGAACTGACAGAAATATCCCTCCTCATTCACCAAAATTCCAACACCACGCCCTATAGTGTCTTGTATCAAACACTCAGGCATTGGTTACAGTAAATGTAACTACCGTATTCGACATAATAAGCGCCCAGGGCGCTCTAAAAATAGGGGGCTCTTATTAGAATATTATTTTGGTGGAAAAAAAACAGAGTTGAAATATAAATTTTGTGGTTTATGCTGACAGCCTGAAATGTTTATATACGACAGATATATTTTCCCAGAATTTAATTGCCCTTAATTAAGGGTGCATATAACACGAATGCATATTATACGCGAATAAATAAGTCTTGTGTACATTGATCAATCGGAAGGGGTGCTAATATGTATTGTTCACTAGCCAATATATTAGCAAATATCGCCTTGGGCGCTTATTAGAGCAGGGCGCTTATTACGTCGAATACGGTATTGTCTGCTGAGCATCCCAAGAGGCGTAATGATGTTGTTATGGGGATGCAGCAATGTGTTACAATTTAATGTTGTAGATGTATCTGTGTTTGTATAAAACCTCTAACAATAACATCTCAAAACTCATAAGCTAAATACAAACAAAAGTGACCCTCATAATTAACGACTGTAGGATATTTTGTATGAAATATTTTCTGAAACCGATGGCAAAATTAAGCACAATCGCCTTGGAAGCAATCTTCATCCAATAAAGTCTACCTCTAAGCAAGCCACTGGCAACATTTCACACAATAGCTATTTTTATTCAAAGCAATACATATAGCAGATTATCAATGTGTGTTTTCTTCTCCAAATTAAACTTTAATGGATCGGATACGCACTAAATTTAACCACATCTGACGGAATAATTGAGTGAGCATGTTGTTAGAATTCACCCCAAGCAACCAATACTGGTCTTAAGAGGGAAACTAATAGTCTGTAACTTACTGATAACTGATTGATTGGCATTCTACAAGTCGGTGAGTAAGTTTGTTAACTCTTTGATACTAGCCATCACAACCAGGGGAGTATGGAGTTGCTCATAATATCAACCACTGGTTTGTACGGTCCAGCTTCGATTATTTACAGGCTGTTGCCATATAACTGGAATATTGCTAAGCGTAGTGTTAAACAACAATCAAAAAGGAAATAATGTGTCGACAGCCCAAATCAGTAAGAAATTAAGGGAAGCTTCAGGTTCAACTGAACAGTAAACATTTTCTATCCCGACCAATGCAACATATAAAGATACCCATAAAAGACCTGAAACTCTACTGGTGCTAGGACACCTTTAACATTAGAAGAACTGACTCGGGCTAGTGGGCTGAAGCCAAGTTGCATCCCTGTTGAGGCTAAAGCACTTGAATCAGAGGATCTCCTAAATCTATCCGAAGACTAGGACAAGAGCCCCTTGACTTTTGGTCCTAATTACCAACACAAAAGTGACGAAGGTCAAAGACCACTTTGATGAAAGTGAAACCCATGAAATAACAACCTTATCTAACTCTAGCTCTGACACAGTCCTGACCATAAATATGAACCTGACAGGTTGGCTACACAACTGTGTGAGTAGCACCAGCAGCATTCAAAATATTCACCACTGAGATGATGTGTGACATTAATGTTTCAACTGTTTTGACTTCCGAGTCACATCACTGTAATGCAAAGCATCAGTGTCAAGTGAACACGCAATACACGGTGTTTGCACTACATCACACAAAATAAGCTCGATCCTTTCGTGATCATCAACCCATCTGAAACCCTTGTCACAGGTCTAAATCCCAGTTCCACCAATAACCCAGAAATCTACTTAGAATGATTTCAAAAGACAAGATATCAGAGTCAACAGTGTTTGGAACCATAGACTGTGACAGACCAATTCAAAACTAGAAACACTCTAAAATGAAGAAAACTCTCCATAACTAATACTTACAAAGCAGCTAAACAATAGTAAAATTTTATAACCACATTACTAGTGTTAGTTACCCAATAACTTGATAAGGAGATTCAGAAACATGCAATGAAAAGCATAAAGGCAGTGATGAAACCATTATCAACAAAGACGGCTTGATCAGATTGCTGTAGATAATATTTAACACAATTAGAGCCTTGAAACATCAAAGCACTCATGACAATATATTACCCATTTTGTTGATCAGTAGCCTCCATTCTGTCTGTGTGCCAAAGCAAACTATCTCATCCATAGCCAACATAAGTTTTACTTCCCTGCGCCATTTGCCACACTGGAGGTAGGAAGTGGGTCCAGATCTCTCTGTGTCTATATATATACATATATATATATATATATATATATATATATATGTGTGTGTGTATTTCAACACAGTGTCACTATTGTATTACAGTCACTTGACATACAATCATATCTAAACAGAACTATGAAATACCATGGGATATCTATGCAGATCAGTTACCTTGGCTCCCTATAGGATTGTTATGGAAACTGATCAATTTGAAACTTTTCCTCAGATAGGTCTTTTACAAGTGGTATAACTGTTCCCGAGAAAAAGGTCGACTGTTGCCTGTACAACATACAGTATACTCCCAGGTGCAACTTAAATTAAACCACGGATCTGAACCCACAACCAGCAGATCCTGGCTCTCCTAAGGGAAATAACTTGAGTTGAAATTGGGTTTAACATTGCGTCCAAGATTATTGCACTTATATAGCGACTTAGGGAAGTATCTAGACAGCGAATTATGGTTACTTTTTGTACAGTCTTTTTCACATTTCTCACGAGTGATATTAGTGACAAACAAATTTTGAAAGTTTCTGTTATTCCCACCTACTCTACCCTTATCCAACCACACCATTAAGGTGGGTAAGGGATGGGTGGAGGGAGAGAGGAGATGTAATGATCGACTTGTCCACATTTCCTTTTCTTTTGGTCTTCAAGTCTGACCCAATTTCTTACACAGAAAATGTTGCCCTGATGAAAAACACATCTGGACATATGTTGAGCAATTAGTTTCACTTTCAGAACAGAATCATATTACAGTGTTCCAGGTGTAGCACAGATTCAATGGAAAAGCTTTTATTCGTGATTTCATGATAACACAACTGCCTGGAACATAATTATTTAGAGCACATGAAAACCAAATGCCAAGCTTATTAAAAAAGAAAACTTTTTATTTTTTTACTTCACTTAACAAGTCGGAAACTGGAAAGTCTAAACAAAATACTTCATCCAGTCCAAAACTCAACTGAACACTCCCCAAACAAAACCATGTACACTTAGTCCAAACATATCAAAACCTAAACCTGACAATAATTCTGTCAATTGGTGACCTCTGACCTCTTGACATGCAACTATAATGATCTCCAAAGTACCATCATGGCTTTTGAGTGGCTGAATGTCAGCCCTAATTTGCCATCAACCCACAATGCAAATGTCAGCCTATTTCCTTTGTATTCCTGAACGAGTAAGACTTGGATGTAGCAATCCAACCAAATCAAAGCAAGTTTAATCAGTCAAGTAGCCATGCATCAGTACTCCCGAGATAACAGACTTGTCAAACACCCCTCTCATTCAGCTACACATGACATATACATCAAAACATACAACCACCTCGGGCAGACAATAAAAACTTATTTGACCTGCAAGACTTGTCAAAATTGGTTTAGAAAAACAAAACTTATCTTGAGTTTGAGTATTTTTGAATGTGTATTCAGCAAATACCACGTGTAAACAATCTTTGTAAACAAATGCAGTGGCTTATAGATTTCTATTTTACACTTTGACAGAGCAAAGTTAACATTAGTCTTCTATACTTGTGTGAGTGAGTGAGTGAGTTGGGTCTTAATGTCACTTTGAACAGTATTTGGAGGAAAGCTTGAAATGATGCATGGTCTCTAATTCAGTGGGTGGGTTGGTGAGTGAGTGAGTGAGTGAGTGAGTGAGTGGGTGGGTGGGTTGGTGAGTGAGTGAGTGAGTGAGTGAGTGAGTGAGTGACGGCGAGTGAGTGAGTGAGTGAGTGAGTGACGATTTACGGTGCTTTTAGCAATATTCCATCAATATAACGGCAGGGGACACCAGAAAATGGGCTTCACACATTGTACCTATGTAGGGAATCAAACCCGAATCTTCGGCATGATGAACCAATGCTTTAACCACTAGGCTATCCCACCATCCCTCAGAGAACATGAGAGCATATGAAACAAATTTAAGCTTTCGCTTAATATAAATATTTAAAGTACTCAAAAGATTTATTTCTGTGATCAAATTCATTTTCTTCATGTTACAGTTAGAGCATAATAATATTACAATTACAAATAACTGCTGATTAAAATGCTGGAATGAGGGCCTGTGAGGGCAGAATCCAGGGCAAAATGATCACTTCCCCTTCTGTTGTTAGGCGACTCAAAGCTTACATTGCCATGACATAATCAGAACGAACTATGGCATACTTTTTCCACTTTCCAACATCCTACAGATGTTCCACACAATGCTGGGAAATTTAAATGGAACTGTGCCAAGAGTTTTTCACCTTCCTGGGAATGAGGGAATCAGTCATCGCTTTTCTTACTGAGACACAGATGCCCCGAGTGCTGGTGCAACACTGTGCAGAGAATCTCCGCGCTGCACAACGGCATGCACGTACTCTGTGTACAGCGTAATCAGGTTTCCATCTTACTATGAAGTACTAGAGGACATGCCACTGGAGTCTTCTTTTACTTCATGAAATTTGTTTTGTAATTCCTGACTGGAGTTTTGACAAGTAAGGTTCACAATTCATTGATTTTCCAAACACTTGATGATGGATTTTCTTGGGAGATTTTGGTACAGAACTGGATTTTTTCAATGATTTTATTGCATCTCAGTTTTTACACTTGGAAGAGCAAAATGGCAGTTTGATGATGATGTAATTACATCAGCTGATGATGAGGAGACCACATGAATACATTCTCAAGCATGCACTCAAATACTAAAGAATGTACTACTCTGCAAATGCTAAATTGACTATTACTGTTTAGTGTGTGAAAACAATTATTAGGGATCAACTGTAAGTCAACTGTACCTCATCAGTAATGAACTATTTCATATAACTCAATGAAGCCTTTGTGCTTGAACAATATTGTACATGAAAAGAAACAAAACACCAGCACTGATTTTTACAGAAACTAACACAAATCCATATCAAGGGTATCCTAGATTGACTGAACATGTCGATGGGCTTTCTTCAAAATACAATCAGTTAAATTTACATGAGCATACCATAACCTAAGAATAATACAGTATCATATTAATATATAATAAACATAAAAAGAAACATATCAACAGAAATGCTTCTCAGACTGACAGGACAAACAGACAAGGTTTCTTTGTGATGATAGAGCACCTTTCCAAACATCAAAATTTATGATGATAAGAAATTATAATTTATCATATTAATACATAAATTAATATAGACATAACTGAGTATCTGGTCCCTCCTACCTCATTGTTTTCACTCATTGTATGTCCACCTGGCCACAATATTTACTGTAATAACAACTCCACAATCACAGAACATGCAGGTATTTCCCAACATGCTAGCGTCCTGGCCAGCGCATCATGAAACATATCCATGTCACACAATCATATCCGAGTGTCCTCTGGCTAAGTATGTATCCACTGATGTGTATTTCACAGAAAAACTGTGTGTCTAGTAAGCCATGGTGTCATCCTTGTGCTTTCTGCCATATTGTAATGTGAGGGTACTAACACCAGTCCCTGAGACTGGCAACTTCAGAAGCCTGCAGGAGATGCTCCCTGCCCTCTCCTGTAGGGGTTGGCTCACAAGTAAAATAGTCAATTTATGACTCCTAAAAAGCTTGGTTGTGAGGAATAACTGTTTGAACTTGTCAGCAGGCTACCTCTGTGTATAAGAAACAGGAATAATCACAATCCTGTCAAGGTTGATCATGCCCTATCAAGTTGGACCGTCCCATGAGTATTTTGGTGAATTACGATGTCAATTTGTCATGCTTGTCAACAAAAGTGTGAAAGTCATTTAACCATCACTATGGAACCTGTCTGTCTTCTGGAGGCAATCTCATAAGTAACATGGAAATATTATCACCACCAGCTAACATGAGTAAAAAACACTATCCTTTATCATGATACAATGTATATCGGAACAGCAGAGGTCAATGAAGGGCCAATCAGAAGCAAGTAAAGGCTGATCTCTACACGATTCCGCATGAGCTTACACATGTAGCATGGACTAATTGTGTCACGCCCGGTAAATGCTGCAGTTGTGTATAGGTTAAACTCATTAAGTCAACTGGATATCAAATAATTCATGCTGGGTATGTGTAATTACTGTTAATGTGGTAGAGTTTGTCAATAATTTATGTGATTTGTGCTGCATAAACATCCAAAGAGACGATAATTGACACAAATGCAAATTGGAAACAGGTGTGAAATATTAATATTTCACATGTGCCTCATAACCATATACTTGTTTATCTCAAAATGCCTAAACAAAAGGAAAACAAGTTCATGAGTATCAATATCTAAAAACTATAGCCACTTATCTACGAGAGGATATCTATTATTTACTGTATGAGAAAATCATAACTTAATATTCTCAACCAAAACAGAGAGTGAGTATGGTTTTACGCCACTTTTAGCAATATTCCAGCAATTTCATGGCAGGGGACCACATAAATGGGATTCATTGTACCCATGTCGGGAATCGAACCCGGGTCTTCGGCACAACGAGCAGACGCTTTAACCACTAGGCTAACCGACCACCCCCAACCATAACAGTGAAATACTGACTAGACATGTACAAATTGAAAGCACTTAGCACATGTTAAAAAAGGATTATGTTTTAATCATTCATAGTTCTGTCTTTCTGAACACATTTTCACACATTGTTTCTATCTGCCAAAATTAATTCAAAAGCATCAAAGATTCCCAAATTTCACAGGAAAACAGCATTTTCACAACAAATTTAAAATAATGCCTGTGTCTTTAATAATTGTTGAATAACAATGTTGGTTTTTCACCTCATAGCAGCAGAAACAGTGTCATTTTTCATCCTTTGTAAAACTTACGTAGCATCAGAAGGCACAACATGATGTGGCAAACCAGACAAGGATTTCCTGCATGGAAATAAACTTTTCCTTTGCAACAAATTGTAGAAATTTAACTTTATTCACCAACAAACTGACTCATTATGACAGCATGTTTTCCTTGAATACGGATCTAAATGCACACAGGACTGACAAATGACCAGAATGCAAGAGTTCCTGTACTGATCATCTTCCAAGAGGGGTTACGGCCAGCCAAGTCACCAATCGATGAATGTACCTTGTATACTCGGCACAGGATGCAAACGTTGAGGAAATGTTTCATGATACATCCTCACATTAACTCACATTCACGCTGGGTTTCAAAACTTTAAAGTATGTCTAACTGACAAGGACGTCAGAAAGTGATTGCTTTCGCAGTTGAACCAGTATTTTAATCACATTACGATGGTGAGACTTCAATGTCAGGGAAAATACATAATTGAGGCACGTAGTAGACATCTGAATTTGGTGAAGCCCTCAAGCAGGCATGGGCATGGCACAGACAAGCCAAAGATCATAATTATGAAAAGGTCTGGGATTCAAACTCACAACCAGTTCCTGAAAGTCATCTAATTTTGAGATTGATTGATAGCACTTTAAAAAAAGAAAAGTTTTTCCTTTGAACTTAACAGAAATGATTCCATCTGGAAACAGTGATTTAGTTTAAAATTAAAAATAATTTTGAGATGGTCCCTGTCAGCAGATGGACTGTACCATGATATAAGTATATGTAGTCCTCCTCTGTGCTCAACTTCAGCCCTGAAAGGGGAACAGTGAATGAAAGCCTGCTATTCTCTGTGATATATTACCGCCTACAATGAGAGAGCATCCCAACACCCCTTCCAGACAATGGCCTGGTCCACCTCACAGGAAGTAAGCTGAGGCAACACATGTGCAGTATGTTTCTGGAGGGAAAGGCAGGGGAGTTTTCATGCTGTATGACCCAGGGGACACAGGTTATCAACGATCATGGCTAAAATACTCCTTCACATAATGGGACATTAGCACTGGCAAGGGCACTCAGTGTTGGAGACAGTAATGTGATAACCACACAGGCTGATTGGTCAGTTTAGGACATTGGTAAATTCTGGTGTTATCAGCATGACTTTAAGTTCCGAATTCTTTGAATATGTGGCATTCACTAGGTGATATCTTATTATACATACTTATCATGCTTAGGGACCAACTATTTTATATTCAGGGGTGGGGGGTCGAAAGAATATTTTTTCAAGCACTAATTAAAGTGACAAGACAATACAATCTTTATCACTGAAACAGTGAGACGAACACATTTTTATTTTTTTCATTTACAAAACCATTTTTCATGACATCCATGATTTAAAATTTGCAAAATATAGCTTTCGTTTAGAGATATCTGAACCAGCTTACAGAGAAGGACAAGTATATATACCACTGCAAGTGTCACTGAAATAATAATTGTCAACATCCTTAAAAATATGCACTTGTACAAAACATATTTCACCTGTCCTCAGAGTTTGCAGATCGCCTAGCAGGCAGATTTGACATAAAAAATGCATCTACAAATAATAAAAAATATCAAAAAAGGAATACCATCAATGGATTTTTCATTGTCCCAAGCACAATTTAGTAGTCTTGGGCCAGTAGATTTGCATGAATGTCAAAGGCTAGTTAACCCACATAACTATGAGTATGAACAGCATAATCCGTGTACCTACGAACAGTACAACATACTCACACCTGTATACAGAATCCCATCATAACTGTCCCAGTATACACAAACAACTGTCCTGACTGTGGACGGGTCAGCAAACTCAGCATCCTGCACTGACCTGTCAATGGCTGACCATGCTGTCATGACTGGCCTTATCTCTTGTAATTAATGTAGCGGATTGTGTCATGACTGTCAATGAGCATTCCCTGTTCAGTGATAGATGACATTATGTAACCTCCTATAGCCATGCATTAATTACAATCGGTCATTGTTCAAGAATGTGTACATGAATCTATACAGAAAAGTCATAACTTGGGTATCCGTAAAATGGTTTATGTTTTTCATTTCTGAAAGAGTAACATTGCTGATAAGACTTTTCTTAGTCCTTGTAAGTGTGAGAGAATGTGGAGTTATTCATACATCGGAGCATATATGTAGCCATGCCACTGAAATATGTTTAGTTGTCTTCCCTTGTGTAAAAAAACATTCAGAAAAATACACACACATACTGCTCAGTAGGTATGTTATATAACACTTATATTTTAACAAAAAACCATCTGTGCCCGAAACATTTTGAGTCTACTCACACAAACTTGGCCCAAAGTATCATATTTTAAGCACATATTAGTGTTATAATATGAATTTTTAATATGGTCATTGGAGCAAAGAGATTGTGGATTTAGTCGTTGACTACATATAATACATATTGTCCAAAAAGGTCAGTCAACTCAATGGATGTCCTCCCCATGTTTACACCAATAGATTACCTCCCCTTAAGATCACTGTATAAAGTGGTATGAGAGTATACAGGCAAAAGGCCTCTTTCTCTGACTTAAAATAAAAGGAAACTGAAAGTATTTCTAGTAATAAAAAGCTTCTGTTTCCAATGTTGTTTACTTTTTATGTATTATGTAGTGCCTGTCTCGACAGATGTGATCACATCATATCCCTATGCCATACATAAACCAGGGTTAGAAACTAACAGTTTTTGTCCACTAGTTCTTATAATGATAACATATAGCAAAACCATTAAAATGGGCCAATTTCTTCTAGTCCTTATGATACCTTAACTATTGGGCAGTTTGGTAAGGACTACAGGACTAGTGCCAATTTCTAACGCTGTAAACCCTAGGTTATTATGACAAACAGTTAAGATAGAAATGCTTTTCTCTTGCACTTGACACATGTTGACATATCCCCTTTAGAACTTCAAATTTACACTTAGCTGTTAGGAAGGATATTGCAGATACTGTATCATAATCATGTGACTTCACATGTATTTGTAATAATCAGTGTTCCCGCTGGCTTTTGAAACTAACAGTTCTGGAGGACTGGCAACTCTAAAAATTGCCCCTAAGTTTTGTCAGTCCCAACTTTCAACAAATAAAAAAACGCATGAATATTGCCTGGTTTGAATTCTTTTAACATCATGTTCGATTGCATGGACATCATCTCTGATGTAACTTAGTTAGATCTACACAACATTCCCACAAAGGTCAGTCACAATCTTCTCCTTTTTCTTTTGAATATTTCTAGAATATGTCACTACAAATACATATTTAACCTCAAAGCATGCAAAATGTTGTTTCTTTGCACTGGAAATAGACAACGGGAAACCCTGATGTCAACAAACAAGCTGTACTTTATTTGCCGGTCCACAGGGACTTGCAGTCTCAGGAATTACCAGTCCAAGCCTAATTTTACCGTCACAAAACTGGCAATTACCGATAAATGGGAACACTGAATAATACCTTTTTCTAAATCAAAATAATAAATTCATTAACATTGCCTCTTAAAACGTAATTTGATATATCACTGCAACCAACGAAATGTTTTTATTCTGAATGATAACCATGATAAAGATTATTGAATAATCACAGTTCAATTCTCATAGATTATCATCATTTTCAGATCCCTGTCATCACCACTCTATGAATAATAATGAATTTGACATCACGCATTGGTGCATGCTTAATCATCATTCCGGATAACAATCAAGACCCTCAACCTCCCAC